CACACCTCATGATAACCAAACTTATTACCAGCTCCATCATCCACTCATTCCTCGGGCTTGTTTCTTGCTTGGCTACTTTCAAAAATCAAATTCCTCCTCAAAGGACAAATAATTACTCTTTTGAAGTTGTTTTCCAGAATCCGAGGCAGTTCTTGGGTAGACACTTCCATGCTCCATGAGCAGAAAAAAAACTGGGCTCACAGTAGGACTCTGACCACTAAATCCACAGTGTGGTCGGGGTATTAACCTTGCCCCCACATCCCCAGGCTAGCCTGTGGTGCTGATCAGGACCAAAGGGCCACCCTATGGCTCAGGAATGAATGGTTCCTAGCAAAGTGACACAGCCAAGGAGGTCCAGCCTTCTGCCGGCCTTAGACAATCTGGTATAAATCCTAGCCTTGAAACCTAGCTGCACAGATTTGATCAATTAGCTTGCATTTTATCTTTTATTTCCTTAGGTAAAGTCTGTTAGAAATCATAAAGGTAGTAGTTTGTTTGTTTTTTTTAAGTTTATTTCTTTTTTCTTTTTTTTCTTTTTTTTTTTTTTTGGTTTTTCGAGACAGGGTTTCTCTGTGTAGCTTTGCGCCTTTCCTGGGACTCACTTGGTAGTCCAGGCTGGCCTCGAACTCACAGAGATCCGCCTGGCTCTGCCTCCCGAGTGCTGGGATTAAACAAGATGCTTGGCTTGCAGAGAAAGCTAAGATTCATTTTGTACCCCTACTTGAAGGCAGCTTGCCCTACATGCCAACAGCTATGTGTAAAAGTGCTAGAAAACTATCCTAAGCTTTACAATGACAACAACATTAAAATTCGTGAACAAGGTAAGCAAGGATTTTGTTTTGTTTAGTTTTAGGTTTTTGTTGTTGTTGTTAAAACAACAAGAACAAAAAACTTCCTGGGTATGAAGAGCTGAGTGACCCTGCCACTAACTGAGAAGGGGCTATTTTCACAGAATTGGTACTCTGCTCCATACTGCTTCCATCTGATGTCAACCAAAACAGAACGTTGGCCGTTCAGTCTTTGCTCTGATTTTTTAAGTGCAAAAGGCTTGTGCACATATGCCAGCTTTATATGCAATAGAGTACAGTTAGGGAAGGTCAGTGAGGGGACAGAGAAACTGTACTGTGGTAGTGGGGACATGATTAGAACCAAATTGGGTCTTCCTAATGGAGAGTGTGTTTCTGATCAATCACAAAATCCTGGCACAGAAGTTTTCTCAGTAGACACCTGTCTGCTGGTAGAATACATTGGATCTTCACCCTCCTCTTCCAAGTGTACACAGACGTGTCTGCCGTCCACCTGGAATCTGATCTGCCTCGCAGACAAATCCTGTGCTTCACAACAGGCTTTCGTTAGCTCACTCAGTGGTGCCTGCCTCTTAACCTTAAACTGCGCCACAGGACCATCTGCCCTGCCATCTTCAGATTACTGAGACCACTGTTCTCAGTCTCCAGTCTTTCCCTGGGTTTCTCACTGGCCATGGCCATCCTGGAGTCTCTCTGGAGGATGCTTCACAAAAGAGGAACCACGTCCACACCGAAGGACCACACAACACCAGGGGCAGCAGCAGAAGGTGGCTGCATTGTGAATCAGGCAGAGGGTTGAGCTGATTGTACATAAGTTTTGTTTTTTTTTTTCCCCAATACTGAGTTGGACCTAGAGCCTTTTATAATGCTGGGCAAGTGCTGAGCTATATCCCAGCCTTCCTTTTCACTTTTTTGTGACAGTGTCTAAATTCCCAGCCTGACCTTGGCCTCACTCTGTGGCCCAAGCATACCTTGAACTCGCAATCTTCCTACCTCAGCCTTTCAGGCAGCTAGAATTACAGTTCTGAGTCACTAAACCAAGGGAGTTTGGGATTTGTTTTTGAGACAATCTCTTGTAGGCCGAGTTAACCTTAAACTCCTGATCCTCCTGCCTCCGCCTCTCAAATGCACAACCACACCCAATTTAGGCCCAATCCTGATAGTTTTGCATTTACATCATGACTATTTTGACAAATGGGATACCGTGTGTCAAAAGAGGTCTAACAGTGGCATATACAGATTATTAATCAGGTACCCTGGGTTCAATCCCAGCTCTCCCACTTGTTAGAGGAGTCCTATACACTTTGTTGTCTTTATCTATAGAATAGGGATAACTATCTCTCTTGAAAAGCTGTGCTAAATGAAGTAAACTATATACCTAGGAGGAAGAAAGAGTAAATAAGACCCAGCTCCTATCCTCAAGTTGCTCAGAAGAACCTGGTGGGACTGTAGAGAGTCAGGCCAGGAAGCAATTATTGCAACAGATCTAACAGCAGAAAGAAGCTCATGGTTCTGAGTGAAAGAGTAGGCAATAACACATCCACTGAAAGGCTTTAGAAAAAAACATATTGAACAGGAAGAGGAATCCTATGTGGTAGAAACGGCAAACAAAAAGACATGGGGTTGTACCCGTGTGTCCTTTTGTGGACCAAAGTTGTATGCCTCTCTTGAGCATGAATGAAGGACTGAAGTCACAGGGAATGGTGGATGCCATAGGGTGGGGGAGTTTGTCAGTGGCTCGGACTTCAGAGCCAGACTGCCTGGGTCACGAGTCGTGGCTCAGCAGCTTCCAGTGGCATAATCTCGGGTCTAGTACTGACCTCCCCATTCCTCTGAAATGAGTGTGATGGTGCCCATGAGGAAGTTATGGAAAGGACTTAACAAGTGAAAGTTCATTACAGCACTCAGTATTATGGCTAATACAAACTAAGTGTTCACTGAATGTGGCTGTTAAGATTAGTCATCATCTAACCACAATCAGGTTATGGAGGCAGGAAGCACGGTATGGCTTCCGGGGAAGGCTGGCAATAGCAGGCTAAGCACAGCCCTGTAGCTACCAGCTGTTTAAGGCAGAACTAACCTGAAGGGTCCTTGGGGAGGACAGCCAGGCCAAGGCCACAGACAGATGCTGCAGGCTGCAGCCCACCCAGAGGGAACCTTCAGCACACCTGACTCCATCACACACACAACTCCACGGCCGAGTGGGTGGTTCTTGTAGTAGGAAGGTTTCCCCGGTCCTGCCAGGCCTCTGCAGTCCTGTGGTCAGCTTATAAAATAATCACTCAGAAGCTTATATTAATTATAACCGTCGGCCATTAGCTCGGGCTTATTACTGACTAGCTCTTACACTTAAATTAACCCATAATTCTTTTTTTTTTTTTTTTTTTTTTGTCGGAGCTGAGGACCGAACCCAGGGCCTTGCACTTGCTAGGCAAGCGCTCTACCACTGAGCTAAATCCCCAACCCCCCATAATTCTTATTTATGTTTAGCCACGTGGCTTGGTACCTTTTCTCAGTTCTGCCTTGTCAACTTGCTTCCTCTGTGACTGGCTGGCAACTCCTAACTCAGCCTTCCTCTTTCCAGAATTCTCCTTGTCTGCTTACTCTGTCTATACTTCCTGTCTGGCTACTGGCCAATCAGCATTTTATTTATCAACCAATCAGAGCAACACATATTCACAGCATACAGAAAGACATCCACAGCAGGCTCTAAAATTGCTAATGCCCCACTCAGGATTAGCTCTTGACCCAGATGCTGGACTAACATCAGGGGACATGAAGGGAAGATGATCTTTTACACAATTACAATACATGCATGTATTATAATGCATGTATAAACTCTAGTTACTCAGTCAAACTTCCATCACCTTACCAAGATAAAGCTGAGATAAAAGCAAAACTTATTGTCATGTTACTCACAGCAATCCTGTGCTTTTCCTAGCAGTAAAATAGTCCTATCAAGCTTAGGAACTTGGAAGAGACCTAAAGTAATCTTGAATGTTAACTAAACACCACCACGCCTTGCTTAATTACTGACTCTTAACAATTATCTACTTGTGGGCCAGCCAGATGGCTCAGTGGGTAAAAGCACTTGCCGTTGGACCTGACGACTTGAGACTGAGCCTCCAGAGCCCTTACGAAAAATTCCTCAAAACTGTCCTCTGACCTACACATATCCACATAAAACAGGTAAATAAACAATAAGTATAATTTAATTAAAGATATGTATCTATTTGCTGGAGGAAAGTTGAATTAGCTTAATGATATGAGTAATCTTAGGTTTGTCAAGGATATGGCTATTTATAATTTATGACTCCCCTTTATATAAGCTGCTTGTGCAATTACTACTTAATCTAACCTTGTTCTGTCTATGACTTCTAAACAGTTGTCATCTGGATGTGGTGAACAGCTGCTGTCAGCCTGGGCGTGCTCGGTGTTGTACTTCCCTCTAGTGGTAAATACAGAACATTGCAGTCTTAAGGTTTTTTGACTGTTGAAATTTGTTGCTGCAGTTTTTACACACTTTATCTGTAAACTGTCTGAAACGCTTTCAGTAATAACACAAAGTTTAAATAAATAGGTTAAAATTTTATAAGTGTTTACAGTGTTTCCCATGGTTAAAATGTGGGTTGGAAAATCCATCTGCCTGGATTCAAATCCTAACTCACTATTTAAAAAGCTATGAGATCCTGGGAGACTAACTGGGCTAGTAACTGCCTCTGCCCAGTTTCTCATCCACTGAGTGGAGGAGGCTAACAAAAGCCTACATCCAGAGTATTGATGTGGGGATTGAATGAGTTAGTATATGGAAAGCACTAAGACTAGCCATAGTGCCATTCAAAATGGAGACCCTACTGTATGATGGTTTTTATTTCTAAGTTCTTTACAATCAACATTAATAAATAAGCGATGGGCAAGTTAGGCTCTTCTGAAATCAGAGAACCTGGCAAAGGGGGTGGGTGCTAAGTCCACTGACACGGACTCTACCTCCCTACTCCCTGACTGCAGCCTAGGCTAAGGCATGTCGGGAGACACGCAAATTTGTGTCATCACATTAGCATACAGACAAGGAGAGAATGTCTACTGCAAGTTATGGGTTTCATTTGTACCCCCAAGAAGCTCTAACTATACAACTACCTCTCACAAAGAAATCAGACTTTAGAAAATATAACTTGAATTGTTATAAAACTCAACCAAGTTCAAAAGATCCATTTATTGTACAATCTATTTACAAAAAACAAAACAAATAGGGTACAAATGTAATAGAAAACAATGGAAACATGCCAGGTATATGTATGTGCAAAGCCACTGCAGATAAAACCTACCAAGAGTCTACTTCTACTTGCCGTACTTGGCAGTCAGAATAGTTGATCACCTCAGGAAGTTTTAGAAAGTTCAATCCTTTATAACTAAAACTGTAACTTAATGAAAAGAATTATCTTTTGCTCACTGAAAATCTCCAAGTTACTGAAGGCCAAGTCAAGCAGATCACACCAACTTACAAAGGAGTTTAAATAGGGAACCATAACTGTGTAGGAGAGTCACTGAAGCATGTATTCCATTTTTCAGTAGCACTCACATAAAGCAGGAATCTATATACACCCAACTCTCTTCAGTAGCCAGTTAACTGCTAGATCTTCCAAACCCAGGGACCAGCATTTTTAAACACCTTTCTCAGACTGGGCACAGACAGGTCCCAGGATATGGCTTAGTCACCCGAACAGAGGTTTTGATTCTCTGAAAGGCAGCGATGGATACCACAGAGCATTTCTGGATCTGTCTTTCCAAGTGTAGGCAGAGCTTTCCCTTCTGATACCGTGAATAATGGCTTTTATATATCTGTTCTTCCCTTAGATCGCCGACTTTCTGCTGGAGAAATGGGACATCAAAACTGAAACAAAGAAGATGTTTAAACAGAAATTACTGAACTGTGAGAGAGAGAGAGAGAGAGAGAGAGAGAGAGAGAGAGAGAGAGAGAGAGAGAGAGAGAGCGAGCAGGCCAGGCCAGAGAGAGAGAGAGAGAGAGAGAGAGAGAGAGAGAGAGAGAGAGAGCGCAGGCCAGGCCAGTACGAGATGACCCTTAGAGGTTTAGTTCATTCAACAGCAAACAGTGAGAGTAAGCTATGTTAGGAGCTGGGCTCAGAGCTGAGGACTCTTGACTTATAGTTCCAGTCCAAGACTGACAGCCACTGGGGGCATCTACCACAGCAGGAGTACAAAGAAAGGCAAAACCACTCATCTCTTGGGCCAGAAATCAGAAGACAGAGCCAGAAAACGGTCAGGGTCCCACAATTCCCTCTACAAACATGTCCCCCATGACTTGACAACAGCACCCCCCAGCTGCACCATGCTGTGAACACAGACCTCTGGGAGATGCTACCCACATTCAAACCAAAGCAAGTTTCAGTCAACAACAGTGAGTCCCTACATCCAGCCTGAAACTAAGTGCTATTCATGTAAATAAAAAAGACATTTCTTCTAAAATGCTCGTGGTAAGAAAGTACTAAGAAAAGACAGGCTCGGTGGGTACAGACACCTGTCTCCAGACATAAGGATGAGATAGATCTCCAGGACCCACAAGGTGGGAAAAGAGAATCAACTTCCTCAAGTTGACACACACACACACACACACACACACACACACACAACTTTTAAATGCTTTTTAAAGAAACAACAAATGAGCATCAAACAGCACATCACAACCTAGTGATACTTTCTCTGATCCACTACCACTGGGAAATAGTCTTCCTATGCACACTGTAAAGCTCTGTAAATAAGGAAAAACTAAAAACAAAGATGCTAAGTGCTCGTTACAGATGCAGGAAGGGTTTTTGTTATTTCTTGCTCATTTTCCAAATACCTCCATCTAAGTTGGGCTGACCCACACGAGCAGAACTATGGCTACAGAGGCACTTTTCCCTTGCAAAGAACAAGCGCTACACAAATGGCAGAATTAAACCTACCTCAGACCGTCGCATACTGAAGACGCAACTTGTAATGCCACAGAGAACTACTTTTTGCCCTCTTTGTTTAGGTTGAAGGAGGGCAGGTACTTCGTTGGTTTGTTTTAGGGTACTGGGCATTGAACCTACTGCCTCATGCATGGTAGCCAGGCATGCTCTCATTTAACTAGATCCCTAGCCCTGAATTTCTTACATATATAAAACACAGTGTTCTGAGTTAACATCTGCTTAAGCATCACATAGAGCACACACACACAGTGGCAACCTTAGTTAGGGACCGCACCTAACTGGCAATGTGCCTTCCTGGAAAGACACACCCCTCCCACACCGTTATGCTATTTGAGCAGCCACAGGCATTTCAGTTTTCCAGTCTCTCTCTGCGGCAGGGCACTCTTGGGTGCCATCTACTGAGTTTAGATGTCATCCCTCCTCCAGTCCTCTTGGTTGCAAGGTTTATTCTGATGTCTGACCTCAAATAAACGAGTAGGAAATCATCCCGTAGATTACACCTCTTGATGCATCCAATAAACACTGCTTTAAAGATAACTGATTCTGGCCTGGTGGCACAAGCCTTTAATATGTCAGCATTCAAGACACAGAGGCAGAACTCAACCTAGTGAGTTCTGGGCCAGTCAGAGCTCCATGGTGAGCCTATCTTAGGGGAAAAGGTGTGTGATCCTGTTTGCTTTTCTTTAAAAAAAAAAAAAAAAACACACAAGGTTAACATCTCATTCAAATAAATAAGTCAAACCCGCCATATTTGACAGCATAATGGAGTATTCAGCATTCACATGCAGTATGGTTAGGCTGAATCTATTACACAGCTCTTCCCTAGTGCTCTTAAAATTTCAACCATCTCATTCAGACTACAGTTAGCAACATCAACTTAGCACCTACCTAGGGCAAACCATGATAAGCACATGCATCTGTTTTTTCAAATCATGTTTTATTTCATGGTAAGCTAAAAGCAAAATTGGCAAGAAAAAAAATTAGCATTAAAAAAACAAAACCAAACAAAAAACAACTAATAGATAGGCCCACCACAGCAACTCAGAAGCTCTACTCTAGCACTTGAGAGGCTAAAGGTGGAGTATTTCCCCAGGTCCCAGGCCAGCCTGGGCTACCATGTGAGATCTCACCTCAAATAAATAAGTAATAGAAAACAAACAATGTATAACTTATCCTCTATAAATACTTCAACAGAATCTGTATACAGACACTGTCACAAAGAACATACTTGAGAAACTAAGTCAATGCTTTATTACCACAACTCACCCTTGAACTTTCTGGACTAGAAAATGGAGAACACTCCCAAGATCTACTTTCTTTGTCAAAGGAATCATCTTGAAATGCAAACTTCTGCTTAAGTGCATTGGCTATTAAAGACACTGGATCCCATTGTGAACTTTGTCTTTTCCTCTTCTGAATGGGTCTACCACCTGGTGACCTATTTTTAAAAAAAGACAATCAAATACATTAAAACTTTCATGCAATTTTACCTCTTTGTTCACAAACATAACAGGAATATGAGCAAAATACATTATAATCTAATTAGTCTTTAAGAGATTTCTGCCTTGAACTGAGGAATCTAAAGAGTACTAAGAATTCAATATCAGAAAACCAAGAAACCACATGGGTTGGGGCCTCTCACAACCTGTCATGACCCAAGGATCCTCATTTTCACTGCTACAAACCTTAATTTTTAACCAAAATTCCCAGTGTAGAATTCACTAGGCAGACCAGGCTGCTGGCCTGGACCTGTGATCCTGCTTCTGCTGTCCAAGGACAGGGACTACAGGCATGCACCATGATGTCCAGCACCACTGAACAGAATTTAAAGAAATCTTTTTAAGAGCCAGGCACTCAAGAGGCAGACACAGGCAGATCTCTATGAGTTCAAGGCCAGCCTGGTCTAAAAAGTGAGTTCCAGGACAGCCAGGACTGTTACACAGAGAAACCATGTCTCGGAAAAAAAAAAAAAGAAAGAAAGAAAGAAAAAAGAAATCTTTAAGAATGTTTGAAAGGACTAGATTCCATGAAAAGTCATTTGGCTAGTTGTCCAATAATTAGATCATTCATCATTCAGTCAGTCTTCATTAAATTACAACTATTTAAACATGCTACTTCTGGAATTTTCCATTGAAGGATAACCAACCTCAGAGAAAGCAAAATGTTGGGTAGAAGGAACTACTATATTCCTAATTCTTTACAACATGAAGCAAGTATAATTAACATATCAAAAAACAGTGAAGTATGGTAAGACAATATAAGAAATAATCAAAAAAAAAAAAAAAAAAGAACTAAAGGTGATTGTCTCCCAGAGGGTGGCCACACATGCTAAGAAATAAAATATACACACCAACTCTCAATTTCTCTGAAAACAACTGATAAAATTTCAGTTCTTTCCCCAAATTCTGGCGACATACCTTTCAATGGGACGAAGTCTGACCTTGTTCATGTCCTTGAGAACGTCCAGCATGTGTGGAAGGTCACTAACTCTCTGGCTTTCGGAATGGTGGCTGCCACTCGTCTCGTCAACACCCGAGTGTTGCTTTTTCACTGCAGCTGCCGGATTACCTCTGTTGGTAGGTCCCCGTTGCATGGGAGGAAAACACGGCTGGAAAGAAAACTGAGGCAGAGGTGGTGGAGGAGGAGGAGGAGGAGAAAGTACCGATCTAGGAGGGGGACCTGGCTCCGCACTCAGCCCAGCAGCCGCTGATGAAAAGGGCACTTGTTCCACGCTGGATTCATCACTGAGGTCACAGAAGCCTAAAACAAAGTAGTCTGTTGAAAACCCAAAACCATGCGCAACTCACTTCAACATAATATATAAAATCAGTGTGAGACAAGTCACTAATGGCCTCTGGGATACAACTAAATTTCTGACAAGAGAGCAAGCCAACCCCATCTGCTGAGTAAGTCCTAGGAATGGCCATCTGAAGTGTCAGTTTGTTTCTAATCCAGTCAGGCTGTCTCAGGGCACACCCTGAAGGATGCAGTGTAAGAGGAAAAAAGTGATTCCTAGGAATCCATAGAAAATCTCAACTTCACTCTCCAGTTTTAAAAGCAAAACATTAACAACTTCTAATAACTCAAATTGATGTATCCACTCTAAAATGACATTTGAGAAACAGGTATATGACTCTACAGATGATATCCTATGATGAATATTTAACTTTCTCATAAATCTACACCTAAAGAGCTGTGAGTAAACATCCTTGCTTAAAAAGAAAGAGTAGCCAGGCAGTGGTGGCGCACGCCTTTAATCCCAGCACTTGGGAGGCAGAGCCAGGCGGATCTCTGTGAGTTCAAGGCCAGCCTGGTCTACAAAGCGAGTTCCAGGAAAGGTGCAAAGCTACACAGAGAAACCCTGTCTCGAAAAACCAAAACAAAAAAAGAGTATACTCATGTATAATTGTTTATATACCTATATAAAGTATTATATAATTTAACTATATATATTATATTGTAAATATATGCTGTATCTATTAGTATACTATATAAGTTATTTGTATATTATGTACACATAAATATATATGTAAATTTTTAGTAATCACACTTACATATAGCCTCTTACAACCAAATCTGTTATGAAAAGAAATCAGAACCTATATAGCTGAAGTCTCATGGTTTTTAAAAAAGATTTTCTTTTTATTGTTAATTATGTAGGAGGGGTATATGCACGTGAGCTCAGGTGACCATGGAGGACAGAAGAGGATGTCAGATTCCTCTCCAGCTGGGGTTATAAATGGTTATGAGTCACCCAAAATGTGTACTGAGTGTAGTGGGTAGCCATTCCAGCTTTGATGTGGAAGTTCCAACCCCCATTGAGACTTCGGCAACTGTCACGCCTACAAGGAGGGGCCAAGGGAGGCACCTGGAGACCTGAGATCTGGATGGGCTGTGCTCTCACTCAGTTCTGGGACCTTGGATGGTGAAGGTGGGCCAAGCAGAGCTCCAGAGAACACCACTGGACTGCGATACACCTTCCCCAGACCCCGCGACCTACCTATCCCTTAACTTGTAAGTTATGCCATTAAATAAATCTCCTTTTAACTACGTGGAGTGGCCTTTATAATTTCACCAACATCTGGCGCCCAACGTTAGTGGTACGAATTCTTGAAAAGACCCGAGCTACACTCGGCCGGTTGTGGTGGCGCACGCTGGTAGGATTTGCTGAAGGAGGCAGAGGCAGGAGGATCCCAGCTTGAGGCCGGCCTAGGAGGCTTGGGAGAAGCTTCAGCCTGGACAGAGCCACAAACAGTGGTGGGACCATGGAAGCAGTGGCTACTGCTCCACATTGCCAGCTCCTTCTCATCGTGTTGGTGACTGCGGTGATGCTGCTACCTGGGACGAAGGGTTTACTGCTGCTGGTTCAGAGAAGAATTGCCAGGACCATCGTGTTACAAGAGAGCATCAGCAAAGGTCAGTTTGGAAAAGTGGCAAGACAAATGGTGGGGAGAAAATGCAATGAAGATTTTCTGTTCTAAGGAAGAATGGTCATGGTTCCGAGAGACAGACATTTATCAGTCTGTGATTGCTCCAAAACCACAGAGGAGGCACAAAAAAAAAAAAAAAAAAGTCTGTAGGGAACCATGACCACACCTAACAGCAACTTTGAAATCTTCAAAAGGATGACGGGACCCCACAAAGATGATTCCACATGGACTATGATAAAGCCATTAAGCTGATTAACACCATGGAAAACTTGACTTTGGACTACAAATTGGTCAGGACAATTTCGAGATGACTAGCTGAGATGATCCAGCCTGACAGACTACTCGAGCAAGGACTTGTGACAAGCCCTGAACTTTCCTTATATGCAGAGACTGGACAAATGATACAGAACTTGACAATTAACCCAAAATTTTTCTTTTCAAGATTCCCTAAAGATATCTTCACTCCTAGAAAGCAAAAAGAAAAAGAGAATAAGATATGAGATAGATCATTGAATCTACTCTAAGAAAAAATATAAAGAAATAATAGGATAAATAGGTAGATCACTGAATCTACACTGAAGAAAAAGGGGAAGATATAAAAATGACAAAAGGTAGACTACTGAATGTATTATGAAAAGAAAAAAGAGAGAATATGGATATGATAAGATAAAAAGGGAGATTATGGAATCTACTTTTAAAATGGAACTACTTGTTTTAAATAAGATAAGTAATGAAAATTTTTTGGTCTGAGTTTATCAGATGTTACTGGACTGGACATTGTTAATATATATAATGGAGTTTTTTTGCCTGAATTTGTCAAATGTTTAATGGACTAGACATCATTAACGTAATTTTCGACTGTATATATTGTATAAACTTATTAGATAGTTTTTCTTGTATTAGTTACAAGCTTTTTAAATTTTAGACAAAAAGAGAGGAAATGTGGTGGTATTGTGTTCCCCAAAATATTGTGTATCCTAATAAATTCATCTGGGGTCAGGGAACAGAACAGCCACTAGATACAGAGGCCAGAAAATGGTGGCACTCATGCCTTTAATCCTAGCATTCCAGAGATAGAAATCCCTCTGGATCTCTGTGAGTTCAAGGTCACATTGGAAATAGCCAAGCATGGTGACACACGCCTTTAATCCCAGAAAGCCAGCCTTTAATCCCAGGGAGTGGTGGTAGAAAGCAGAAAGATATATGAGGCGTGAGGACCAGAAACTAGAAGCATTTGGCTGGTTAAGCATTTGGCTGGTTAAGCTTTCAGCTGAGACCCATTCTGGATGAGGACTCAGAGGCCTCCAGTCAGAGGAAACAAGACCAGCTGAGGATCTGGCGAGGTGAGGTTAGCTGTGGCTCGTTCTGTCTCTCTGATCTTCCAGTGTTCACCCCAATAACTGGCCTCGGGTTTGATTTTATTAATAAGACTTTCTAAGATTCATGCTACAACTGAGGACCAAACTCAGGTCCTTTGGAACACCAGAATGTGTGTGCTCTTAAGATACATCTCCAAAAGCTTAAAAAAAGACAGCTGGAAAATATAATTCACCTGAACTTGGTGAGAGTATCACCAAAAACTAAAGAAAAGCTCAAGAGATAGTTCAGCACTTAAGAGCACTGGCTGCTCTTACAGAGGACTCGGGTTCAATTCCTAGGGCCCACATGGCAGCTCATCACTGTTTCTAACACCAGTTCCAGAGGATCTGGTGTTTTATTCTAGTCTCTGCAGGCACCAGGTATGCAGGTGGTGCACATACATGCAGGAAAACACCTATACACATAAAAGAAAATAATTTTTTAAAAAATTACCTAAAGACCAGGTGCTGGAGAAATGGCTCAACTATTAAGAGCATTTGTTTTTCCAGGACCAGACTGCAGTTCCCAGCATCCACTTGGTGGCTCACAACCACCTAAAACTCTAGTTCCAGGGAATCCAATGCCCTCTTCTGACATCTGTGGGTAGCTGGCACATACATGGTGCACAGACATACATTACAGGCCAATATTCATGCACATAAAACAAATCTAAAAAAAGTTAAAAACAAAAACAACTAGACTATAAATATTCATGGTCTCAAACCTATTCTGCCCTTTCAGCCAATATATCTTTTCTTCCTCTTTAATTTCCATTTTTTTCTTTCCTTTTTAAAAACTATTTATGGGCTGGACAAATAGCTCAGTGGTTAAGAGCACTGACTGCTCTTTCAGAGGACCCCAATTCAATTCCCAGAACCCACATGGCAGACTCAAGTTCCAGGGGATATGATACCTCATACATAGAGGCAAAAAAACCAATGGACATAAAATAAAAATAAATAAGTCATTAAAAATTTTTAGAAAAATAAAAATTATTAGTTTGGGGGAATTGGTATTAGTTTTTTATTTTGTCCTATTTTGGTGTTTCTGAGAGGTTTACAAGAAGCCCAGGCTAACCCAAACTCTGGGTAGCTACAGATGAATTTCAACAGATTAATCCTCCTGCCTCTACCTCCCAAGTTCTAGAATTACAGGAGCACACACTCATGCCCTGCTTTATGCAGCACTGTGGATTTAACCCAAAGCCTCGTGAACATGAGGCAACACTCTATCAACTACCCCAAAGCCTTATTTTTGGTTTCTGAGACGTGTTCTCACTCTACGGCTGAGACTGGCTTAGAACTCAAGGCAATCCTTCTGCCTCAGCCTCTTGAATTCTGAAATTACAGGCATGAGCCACTGGGCCTGGCTTCCAATGCTTTGCTGCAGAATTAGAAAAGCTGACTTAGAAGTCATGACTTACAAACAAACAACTATCTTCACTAGTCCAGCTAGCTCTTCTATGCAGCCCTTGGTTTACTCTGAGTGACCACCAGACAGAATTCCATATGGCCATCAGCCTTCAACGAGGGATTTACTGTTGTTTATATCAGAATGGTGCTCACGTAAGTGTCAGCTCATGTCACTCTCGTGGAAACAAATCTCTCGTCCTACTCACCCGTCTCTTTAGTCTCTCTCAGCTCCACAGCTCTCTGCATTACCACAATTGCAGCAATCTGGGACCGAAGCAAAGTGAGCTCATCTTCAAGGGCAGCTATTTTTTTAATTGCAGCCTCACTTACTGGCAGATCGTTTTTCACTGGTTTGTTCTGTCTTAGAGAAGGTGATAATGGATCCCAAGTTATTTTTGATGAATGAAAAAGACCAATTTTCCCTTCCTTCTCCTTTTTCCATAGACTATGTCTGTGGGTGAAAGGAAAGAAGAAACAAAGGGAGGAAAATGTTCAATTGAAAAGGAAAAACTCAGCTACCCACGACTTTAGTCCCAGCACTCGGGAGGCAGAGGCAGGCAAATCTCTGAGTTCGAGGCCAGCCTGGTCTACACAGAGAAACCCTGTCGAGAGAGAGAAAGAGACAGAGAGACAGAGAGAGACAGAGACAGAGAGACAGAGAGAAACAGGGCTGGAGAAGAGATGGCTCAATGGTTAAGAGGACACACCACTCTTGTAAAGTTAGTTGGCTTTTTTGTTTTGTTTTCTTCTTTTGAGACAGGTTCTCATGAAGTCCAGGCTGATCTGGCTCCCAGAATCTACGTCAGGTAGTTCAGGCCCTGTAACTCCAGCTCCAGGAATCCACAGCCCCAGCGTTCACAGGCACATACTCCCTCCCCTACCACACACATGACAAATAAATCAATTCTTTAGGAAAAAGAAAACAGGGGCCTGGGACGCAGCTCGGTACAGAGTGCTTGCCTAGCATGTGCAAGGCCCCGGATTTAATCTCTAGCACACAAATATAAACAACAAGCTAAACAAAATCAGAGTACCTCTCTCTGCCCTGAGATGATCCCTAGACTCACAAGAAAGAGCACCTCACATTATAATTGACTTTTGCATTCATATATAGAACACATGGCCAATAAGAAGCAGCAAGAAAATGAGAAAATGAACCTTTCCTCAAGGTGTGAAACAAAATAGTCACCCTAGAATTGCTTTACTGATTAGTTTTAACCTTTGTGTGAGTTTATTCGGAAAATCTACATACTAAGTTCTGAAGGGCCTTGCAGTCAGGACTATATTAGGGTTAGCTTATATCTTCTAAATTTCTGAAAATTAATAAAGCAGTTTGATACATAATAAATTTATCTAGAATCTTTGACTAATTTACATGCATCATGTTAAATGCCTCTATCTGAATAGCCTAACATATAAGTCAGTACTTGCTAGGAGTACAAATACATCCAAAATTTGAAATATAGCCCACTTCAGTATTCATGGAGTAATTTGTTTCAAGAACCCTGCAGACACAAAAAGCTAAAGATGCTCAAGTTCCTTATATAAAAGGGCATCTATGCATATCCTTTGCTTATTTTAAGTTATCTCTAAAATACTTGATACCCAATACGAGACCTTTATGTCACTTCATTTTTGTAAATACAGCATAGTATCTAAAATACAACAAATTCAAGTTTTTGCTTTCAGGAAATCTGTGAAATTTTCTCTCTAAATATTTTCCATCTACCATACTTGATTTCATTGTGTAGAACCTATATGAGAACCCATGGATACAGAGCCCATATGAAAACCATGATAGAGGGCTAAATGCATAAACCTAACATTTATTTTTACATGCCTTACTTATAAGAAGAGAAAACAATATTAATATGACCCTGGCCCCTGCTGATAACCCACGGACTCCTTGACCTGGTATTGGGTTTGAATACGAACAAAGCATTCAAGGGCTCTGCTGACAACACTCTGTCCCGGAGAGCTCACCCAATTACTCACACAGCCAGCCTTGATCAGCAATTTCAGGATTTCCTACCTGGTCTGAAACCAGTACAAATACGGTAACAGAAAAACAAACACCCACTCAACATAGGTAGACCACAAAACTCCCATCAGTTCCACAACCTAACTCAAGATAGCCAAGGTCCCACTGCAAAAGTAGAAGCAATATGAAAAATCAAGACAATATGGACCCCAAACATCATCAGTACTATAGTAATATTCCTCATCAAAAAGAATCCAAATGAATCTCAAGACAAAGAATTTTAAAAGAGTAATTATAGCCGGGGCGGTGGTGGCGCACGCCTTTAATCCCAGCACTCGGGAGGCAGAGCCAGGCGGATCTCTGTGAGTTCGAGGCCAGCCTGATCTCCAAAGCGAGTTCCAGGAAAGGTGCAAAGCTACACAGAGAAACCCTGTCTCGAAAAATCAAAAAAAAAAAAAAAAAGAGTAATTATAAAGAGTTCAAAGAGCTGAAACAGAAAATAAACACCTGAATGAAGTTAAAGACGACAAAAATAAATTCCTGGTTGAGGTCCAAGAAAACACAAGCAAGTGAAATAATGAAACAATCTAGGACATGAAAAATGAATTCAACAGAGATTGAAATGTTGAAGAAAATACAAATGCAAATGAAGATGGAAATGAAAAATTCAACCACTCATTCAAAAATGGAAAGCCTTACCAACAATATGATGTGGGAGAAAACAGAGTGTTAAAGTCTGAAGAAAATATAGAGGAAATGGACCACGAAATCAAATAAAATGATAAATTAAAGAAAGAAATACACAGGAACTTTGGGAGAAATTGAAAAAAGAAAATCTGTGAATCATGAGAATAGGAGAATTCCAAGGCAAAGGCATAGATCATTCAATAAAATCATAGAAGAAAATTTCCTATAACTAAGTAAGGAGATGCCCATTCAGAGCCAAGAGGCAAGCAGAACACCCACTGGACCAGAAAGAAATTCCCCATGCCATATTATAGCTAAAACACTGAACACACAGAAAAAAGAAAGGATGTGCAACCTTCAAGAAAGAAGTTACAATTCATATAAAGGCAAACCCATTACATCAAATATCAACTGACTTCTCAATGGAAATTTGGAAAGCCAAAAGATCTTGGAGCAATGTACTTCAAGTCCTAAAAGACAGCCCTCCACCCGTGTATAACTGAGGACACCATTAATTGGACTCAGAAGATTTTATACCCACGAACACACACACACACACACACACACACACACACACACACACACACACACACACACACGACAGCATGAAATTGGGAAGAGAGTGGAAGGATATAGAAAGAGTTGGAGTGGAAAGGTGATTTGTAAAAAATAAAATGTATTTGTATATGAAAGGGAAAAATAATTTTCAAAAATTTAAATGCAAAACATTTTTTAAATATATACTAAGAAACACCTAAAAATGAGATGCCATTCTTCTATTAGGAAAATATCAGGACATACCATGTCACAAAAACAGGACAAAATTGTCCAGTCAGCAGGAACAAACTTCAGTGCACGCAGGAATTCAAGTTTTAGGCTACACCCACATCCCAAGACAAGCATATAAAATTACCGAAATCTGAGATGAACGGCTTCTTCATCATTTGCTACACACAAAACATCAGCAAAAGATGGAACCATAGGTTCATGATCATCAGACTCCTCAGAGTTCAAGTGAGGGAGCAACTAGAACAAAAGTGGAAACAAAGTCAGAGCTCCATCGGGAATCAGGGAAAACACACGTCTCATGCTTCCTCACAGTAAATAAGTTAACAGTCCAAAACGTAAAAGGGAAAAAACGCTGTAGAAATGTTACTCTACAACCTATGCATACAACATTTTCTCCCCGTGACTAATCTCATCTATCACACAGCAAAAATATTTTAAAAAGTAGGGTTAAAAACAAGCTCCAGGTATTCTTTGTACCTGTCTTTGGATGTAATTAAAGAAACAAAAACACATGTGAGATTGATTTATTTCGAGCAGTCAGTAAAGGTCCTTGGCTTGCAGGCACATTTCTTTTCCTTCTATCCTATTTTCCTGGGAGTACCCAGCATTACTTTATACCCAGGACTTAACACATGGTGACTAACTTACCTCAAAATTAGGTCTTCGACAAGGTTCTAAAGGAAGTAGTCTCCCAATAATACGAATGATACTCCGAGTTGACCCATAGTCTTTATTTGGCCAAATCAGCAAATCCTATAAATAAAGCTTTGTTTAAAATACACTCCAGCTAAATATGTTTATATATATCTAAGATGTAATAGATGTAGTAACATTTATGTACACAAAGAAAACATAATAGCATACACTTAAAGTGTCTTCCTTGAAGAATTAAACTTTATTAACATTACCTTGGAAAAAAACACTAAAGTGTGATCAGTAAAGTTTAGCATGGATACATGAGATCCATGCTAAATTTGATATCCAGAACCCTTGTTAAGAAAAAGCTGGTCATGGTGATGCACTCCTGGAATCCCAAAGCTGGAGAGGCAGAGATGGGCAGACCCCTGAGGTCTCCTAGCTAGCCAGCCTAGCTGAATCGAGGAATCTCAGGCCAGTAAGAAACCTGTCTCAAAAAAGGGAGAAGGATGGCTGGAGATGGCTCAGAAGTTAAAAGCTTTTCCAGAGGACCTAGGTTTGACTCCCAGAATCTACATGGTGGCTCACAACCATCTGTGACCCCAGTTCTAGGGGACCTGATGCCCACCCTCTGGCACACAAGTGGTGCAGAGACACATACAGGCAAAATGTACATCAAATAAAAAAAAAAAAGTCAAAGTTCTAAGGAATGAGCTGTGGCCTCCACATGCACACACATGCAAACATATTCTCACAGACTGGATACATATCTGTGGTGTGTGTGCTGGGGTGTCCACCTCCATCCCAGCACTTGGGAGACAAAGGTAGATGATCTCAAGTTTGAGGCCAGCCTGGGCTACAATAGAGCCTGGGCTAGCTCAGATATCTAACTGAATAGCTTGGAGAATGTGGTGGCTATTCTTGGTTGGCAACTTGACTACATCTGAACTAACTAAATCTAAAGGTGGAGGGCACACCTGTGAGGAAATTTTTGCTTAATTTGAAGTAGGAAGATATACTTCTACTCCAGATCTTGACATGGGAAGACACATGCCTTTAATCTGGGCCATATCTTCTGCTGGAAGTCTATATAAGGACTTGGAAGAAAGAAGCTTTTGCTCTTTGCCTGCTTGCTCTTGCCTTGCTAGCAAGTTCATTCCTTCTCTGGCATTAGAGCCTTCCTCAGGATTCCACAGTCTACTGAAGACCAGCTGAGACATCTAGCCTTGTGGACTAAGCAACATCTGGATTCTTAGACTTTCTGGCCATTGCCAGCCATTGTCACATTAGCTGGACCACAGCCCGTAAGTCATTCTAATAAAGCTCCGTTCTATAGAAAGAGATTCATTCTGTAAGTTCTGTTTCTCTAAAGAACCCTGGCTAAAACTTTATGCAGAAAAGTTCTCTCTCTTTACCTACAAAATAATTCCATCTTTTGAAGCAAAAGCTGGCAATTTCAGCTACTATGTGAGGGTTTATATATAGCCCCAGCCACTCAGCAGGCTTAGGAAGTAGGACTGTTTAAGAGTCCCCGAGGTATATGGCTAGCCTGGGCAACTTAAGGAGATAGAAAAGAAAAGAAGAGAGAGGACAGAGATAAGAGAAACGTCTGACAATTTCAAAAATACTTGTTATTCCTATTAAGGGAAAAATTAAAAGAACAATAAATCAGATCCTAAACAATTCAGAGTTGTTTATATGGCAGTTTGCATATGCTGGAAATCGGCTCTTTACAAAGCACTTCAATTGAATGTCCTATTATAACAAATATTCTGTCCTTATTAGTGTAAACTATAGCACTCTCCCATTAGCTCCCTCGTAAGAATATTTATAAGTAGCATAATCAGTAATCAGATAAATTCACAGTTTTAGAACTCAGAAGAAAACCTGGATTTCAGAATCACTGGCATGCAGAATGCGGTCCAGGTGAAAAGTTAGGAGGGTTTCTTGTACCTGTCATTTCAGACAGCACTCTCACTGAATTACCCAAACTAGCCTTGAATTCAGTCTGTACCCCAGTCGTCTTCAAGTTGAGATCTTCCGTTACAGGAGTCTTTGTTTCACTGGCAGCTCTCTCTCCTCCTTCAATTGTGAACTCTTGGAGGGCAGGCCCAGATGGCTTCTAATTTTACTTGCATCCTTTGGGGAAGTAACTATCCCCATGGATATACGAGTATCATCTCAGATGCTCTCCAGAAGAAATATATTACAAGTACATATACTAATGTATAATGGATATTTTTAAATTACTAATGAAATGATTTTACCTTTTTTCACTAGGTCTTCAAAATTTGTTATTTTTACCTATAGGAGAACTTAATTCAAATACTTAAAGTACTTAAATGTGGCATGTGGCTGGGTGTCATGGAATATGCCTGTAATCCCAATACTTGGGGTTGCTGGGACAGGACTAAAAATTCAAAGCCATACTGGCTTGTATTTTAGCATATACAAAAACCCTGTGTCAAAATTTAAAAGGAAAAGGCAGGGTAGGAACATGTCGCCAGTGGCTACCATATAAAAAAGCACACTCTAGAAGAAACGGATCCTAGATCTATTGATATCAGAATTTTGGAAGACCTAAGCATTTCTATTGAAAGTATTCTACACTCAGTGGTACAAAGTGTGCTTACAATTCCTAAGGCTCCAGGTTCAACCACACACACACACACACACACACACACACACACACACACACACACACCCCAAAAAAATAAATGAAGGCAGGGGAGATCGCTCAGTGAGTAAAGACACTTACCACCAACCAAACCCGATAACTTGAATTCAATCCCAGGATCCCAATATGGTAGAAGGAGAGAAACAATTCCTTACAGTTGCCCTCTGACTACCACACATGTACCACAGTACACACGCTTGCACACACATGCATACATATATATATACACATACATATACACACACATAAATAATTAAAACAATGTTTAAATACCTTTAAAAATAAATAGGTGGTGGAGAGACACTTAGTGGTTATGAGCACTTGAGGCTCTTGCAGAGGACCTGAGTTCGGTTCCCAGCACCCACATGGCAATTTATAATTGTCCTTAATTCCATTTCTAAGTAATCTAACACCCTTTCCTGGCCTCCTTGGATACCAATCATGCACACGTGGTGCATATACATGCATATAGGCATCCACACATAAACACAAACTAAAAATAAATATTGGACCATTCATATGCGCAGCCCAGCTAAGAACCAGAGGTCACAGTGAAAATACATAGTATCCAACTTTTGGTTAATGTGTCTTCTTGACTGGCTCTGTGGTTTCTATCCCCAGAAACTCTGGTTCCTCTAACTCTTTCATTCCTTTACTGGCCATCTTTATTACCACCTCTATGCCTGGTCCAGAGCTCTCATTTGGACTTTACTGATTTTCCTACCAAGCATGGATGTGCTGGTTAATTACTTCAGTGATAATGCTCATTCCATTCAAAAGTACTTCATACTCTTGTTGCTAATGAATAACCCCTAATTACTCTTACAGGGGAAAAACTCACAAAGTATTTTTTCAATTACAAATTTACATTGACATCACAAGCATGCTGAGTTCTCACAAGTAAACAGTTTGCAATCACTTCATGTCATGTATGTTGATCCTAAGCCAAATAAAGCTACCTCCAATATGTTATCCCCCTACACCAATTCCAGTACATACAAGTGACCTTGCCTCTATCAAAAACCCAGAACACTTCAGAGGCAGGGAGCATGGGTTGGCTGGTGGAACACTTACCTAACATCTTGGAGTTCTAGTCCCAAAAACAGAAAAACAAAAGCCACATTTCATTTCTCATCATCCAAAATCTCTCCCCACCACCTCTCATTTTTGTTCCGTTTAGGATGGAGCCCACTCTTCCTTCCCAGCTTTTGGATTCAGAGTCCCTTCCCCACCACGCTCTCCAGTGCACTAGTCTGTCACTTGGCATTTGTTTTTCAAATTTTGTTTGTTTGTTTGTTTGTTTTGTTTTGTTTTGTTTTGTTTTGTTTTTTGGTTTTTCGAGACAGGGTTTCTTTGTGTAGCTTTGCGCCTTTCCTGGAACTCACTTGGTAGCCCAGGCTGGCCTCGAACTCACAGAGATCCGCCTGGCTCTGCCTCCCGAGTGCTGGGATTAAAGGCGTGCGCCACCACCACCCGGCTGTTTTTCAAATTTTTAACCGAACTTGAAAATATACTGAAGTTAATTGTGCTCGTTAGTTTTTTGTCAACCTGACACAGCACGGTCATCTGGGAAGAGGGAATCTCAATTAAGAAAATGCTTCCATAAGACTGGACTGTAGGCAAGGCCAAGGGACATTTTCTTGATTAATGATTAATGTGGGAAGGTTCAGCCCACTATAGGCAGTGCCACCCCTAAGCAGATGGGAAAGTGGGCTGAGCAAGCCCAGGAGAGCAAGCCAGTAAGCAGCATTCTTCCACTGACTCTGCTTCAGTCCCTGACTTGACTGCCCTTGGTGGACTGAAGCTTGTAAGCCAAATAAACACTTTCATCCCCTAAGTGTGGGAGCCCACAAGTGACTCAATTTCCCAGTTTGAATCTGAAGTCTATTCTGAGTCAACAGAGTTCAAGCTTGTTGGCTCCAAGGCTGTGAGAAAGTTCTGATTAGCCCGCAGAGTCTCCTTGAAGGGCTGTGAGAAAGTCATTAGCCCACAGAGCCTCCTTGAAGGGCTGTGAGGAAGTCCTGATTAGCCCACAAGAAGAAACACACTATCTAGCTAGATGCAGGCCACTGATGCCAGCCAGAGGTACATTGCGATAGAAAATGAAACCGCCTGCTCCTTGATGCAAGGCAGGATAGACAGTGGTTGAATGCCTGTGTTATGCATTGTTCTACCTCTGTCCTTCAAGACTGTACATAAGCTGGCTGTGAAATAAACTCGGGGCTGTCCGGCATTGACCGGCAGACCTCTTGACTCTTTTCTGTCTTCTTCATTGTCTCTTCAATCCGCACACCTCTACCCAGCTACCCAGCTACCCAGCTGACTGTCGGCAGGTCCGACACCTAAGTTGGTTTTGGTAAGTGTTTTAGCACAGCAATAGAAAGCAAACTAATAGACTAACTCTAATACTGAAAAGAAATCTTCAGTACTGCTGCTCCTTCCAAATGATGCTTCTCTCCATCTCTTTTCCAAAGTTTTCAAATGAAGGTTACTGAGATCACTCTTCCCTCCCTCACATTCTTCAGACCACTCCAATTCAATCCCATCTCCACCAAAAGAAATTCTTTCTGGGGGCATGTTTGGTGTTTTTCTGTGTGGTGATATTTTGTTTGTGATCTAACAAACAAAGCTTGCCTGAAGATCAGAGTGCAGAGCTAAGCCACTAGTTAGCCATAGAGGCCAGGCAGTGGTGGCGCACACCTTTAATCCCAGCACTCCGGGAAGCAGAGGCAAATGGATCTCTGCAAGTCAAGGCCACTCTGGGCTACACAAGATTGATTCAGTCTATAATAGAGACAAAGCCAGGCAGTGGTGGCACACACCTTTGATCCCAACACTAGGGATCTCATGCCTTTAATCCTAGCTAGGGAGGTGGAGACAGGAAGTGATATGGCTGGGCAGGAGAAGAATATAAGACCGGAGGAGAAAGGAGCTCTCTCTCTTTCAGGCTGAGGAGTTGGTGAGGTAAGAGGTGGTGGCTGTGGTTTGCTCTTTTGTCACTCTGATCTTTCAGCATTTACCCCTATATCTGACTATCTGTTTGGGTTTTTAATATTTTGGGCAGGGGGAGGGGACTTTATCCTGAGCACTGATTACATCACTTTCATCCTTTCCTCTCCCCTCTCGAATTCCTCTCATGTCCCTGTCCCAAATTCATGATCTCTCCTTTAAATAGTACTATATACTAATGTATGTATGTGTGTGTATATATATACATATGCATGTACATGTGTATACATAACCACAAGGGTCCATTTAGCTTTGCCTATATGTACATGTGTCCACATTTGACCACTTGGAATTGTATAACCTATGTGGGAGTTCATTTCTCAATTGAGTCTTCCTCTCTCAGAAGCCACTGACCGCCTATAACTCTTCCTGTAGGGGTGGGACCATGTGGAACTAAGCCTGTCTGAATTGGCATGTCAACTTTGGTTTTTTTGTCAGGGTCCTGCCATCTAGCCTAGGCTAGTCTTGAACTCCTACCTCAATGGGGAGCAGATTAAATCCTAAGTGAATGCATATTGCTTATATGCACATGGTCAGGTCCAAGGTTGGAATGCCTCAGACTCATGAGCAGCAAGGCCTTCCCCTAGTCTGAGTTTGACTGGTTATAGTGCATACAGAAAGTATCAACCACAACTTCCTCCTCCCAGATAACTGCAGTCTGAGACTACTCCCCTAAAAAGAAGCCACCCCAAGATTACCTAACACACCTTTGTTCAACTGTATATAAGAAACCCACATCCTTGTCCAGCTGTATATAATAAATGCGTCAAATTTCCAGGATGCTGGGGCACTTCCATCAGAGGGCACGGCCCACTCTACCCCACCCCAGCTTTTTCTACTATGTGTCTGTCCTTTCTTCATTCCTTATGAACCTGGTCAGATCAACTCCAAAGTTAGGTAGGCACAACTCCCCTACCCCAGCCTTCTGAATTCAGAAGATACAGGCACATCAGAAATTGTTAAAGGCCCAGTAATAATCAGCAAATCTCCAACTGCTAGTCCTTGTTATTGTCTGTCTCACTATTACTGAAATGTTTCAATATCTAATGACATCTTCCATTGTTACTTATCTCCATGGTTTCAAACATCAACGGAACACAGCAAACTCCCCAATTGGGATGTTTTTTCCTTTCCTAGCCTCTTCTAGAACCATAAGTCCAACTATCTGTGGGATATTTTTTATAAGTAGGCAACATCATATTTTAATTTACTTTTGTTTAAAATCTTAGCATTTTCCCTGATACTTTCTTCTAATTCATGCCACCACCCTTATGGATGAGTTGCCATTTTGTAAGCCACCCAGGATTAAATATTTCTTACTCATATTTTATTTGTTTGTGTTTTTGAGGTAAGGGTCTATGTAGCCCTAGCTATTCTGGAACTCTCTACCATAGACCAGGCTGGCCTGGAATTCAAAGAGATCCACCTGCCTCTACCTCCAGAGTGCTGAGATTAAAGATGCAAACCATCACATCTGGCTCTTATTCCTACTTTTAACACCATAAGGACAAGAATTATATATCGCTCCTCTGTATCACTTACAGAACCAATACTATTGTGCTGTGGGATGCCTTTCTGTATGCTGTAAATATGTATTGCTCTGATTGGTTGATAAATAAACTGCATTGGCCTATGGCAAGGCAACTTAAAGGCCGGTGGGAAATCCAAGCAGATACACAGAGAGAAGAAAGGAGAGGAGGGGGAGATGCCAGCTGCCTCCAAAGGAGCAGCAAGATGCCAGCAGACCGGTAATACCACAGCCATGTAACAACTTATAGATTAACAAAAATGGGTTAAGTTATAAGAGCTAGCTAGCAAGAAGTCTACCATAGGCCATACAATTGGTAATTAATATTAAGCCTCTGAATGATTATTTTATAAGCAGCTGAGGGACCGCGGGGCTGGACGGGACCTGAGAAAACTTATGTCTACACTATTGAGATGCACATGTTCAACTCAGAGACAAAATTAGATGCATAATTATCAATCTTAGAGTCATCTTCTCTCCCTCGGACTTATTCTAGGTTTATTGAATTTTTGTGTTCTCATACTACATATATACAAACAAACTTAGTCATAAATTATCTTAAATAAAAACTATTTTTTTAAGCCGGGCGGTGGTGGCGCACGCCTTTAATCCCAGCACTCGGGAGGCAGAGGCAGGCGGATCTCTGTGAGTTCGAGGCCAGCCTGGTCTCCAAAGCGAGTTCCAGGAAAGGCGCAAAGCTACACAGAGAAACCCTGTCTCGAAAAAACCAAAAAAAAACAAAAAAAAAAATATTTTTTTAAGTATACAACTGTAATTCTGTGACAGTCAAGTCCACATTTTACTTCCTGTGGTGATTTGAAAGAAAATGGCCACCAAAGGGAATGGCACTATTAGGAGGTTTGGCTTTGTTGGAGTGGGTGTAGTCTCGTTGGAGGAAGTACATCACTGCAAACTGGCTTCGAGGTCTCATATATGCTCAAGCTACCACCCAGTGTTTCAGACCACTTCCTGTTGCCTGCAAGCCAAAATGCAGTACATTCAGCTACTTCTCCAGCACCATGTCTGCCTGCATACCACCATGTAGCACCATGATGATAATGGACTGAACCTCTGAAAATGTAAGCCACCCCAGTTAAACGTTTTATAATGTTTAAATGTTTTATAAGCATTGCCGTGGTCATGGCGTCTCTTCACAGCAATAGAAACCCTAAGACACTCCCTTTGTTGTATCTCTTATTGGGCTTTGAAAAGAGATTACTAACCACCTTGCCACTGTTTTTAAACCAAAACTATCAACGTTAACCTACTGCACACTCATCTTTCTCCCAGCTACAGAGAAGTAACAAATAAATGTTTACATAGAGGTTTTCTCACCCAAATGGATTGAATTTAGAAGCCTTGCTCATTCTTGCCAAGTGCTCTGCCACTGAGCCGCTGATCTGTACACCACTAGCCCTGCTTTATGACTTTTTGTTTGGAGGTGCAGTCTCACTAAGTTGAGTTGCCCAAGCTGCTCTTCAACTCACTCTGTAGCCTAAGGAGACCTTGAACTTGAGATCTCCCACAACTAAGATTACAAGACTGCACTACCAGGCCCTGGTGTTAAGTTGTTGTTATTGTTGTTCCCTATCTGCTGCTGTGATAAACACCATGACCAAAAGCAACTTAGGAGAGGAACAGGTTTACTTGGCTCAAACTTCTGTCCTATTCAGGGATACTACTGCTGTGATGGAACATCATGTCCAAAGGCAAATTGGGGAAAGGGGGAAGCTGTCAGGACAGACACTCCAACAGCAGAAACCTGGAGGGAGGAGCTGATGCAGAGACCATCGAGGAGTGCAGCTTATTAGCTTGCTCCACCTACTCTCTCTTATAGAACCCAGGACCACAACCTCAGGGCTGGGCCCTCCCCCATAAGTCACTAATTAAGAAAATGCTCTACACACTTGCCTATAGCCTGATCTTATGAAAGCAATTTCTCAATCAGGGTTCCCTCCTCTCAGATGACTATAGCGTGTGTCAAATTGACATAAAACTAGCCAGCACAACTTCTCAGTCCCAATTCATCATTGAGGGAAGTCAGGCAGGAACCCAAGCAGAAACCACTGTCCCATGCTCAACTACCTTTCTCATACAGCTCAGAACTCATCTGCCTAAGAATGGTGTCCTTCACAGGTGGCTATCAACAGTAAGGATAATCACATAGAGACAAGGCCACACAGGCCAGTTTGATCTAGGCAGTTCCTGGAGGGTCCCTCTTCCCACGCGGACTCTAATGTCCAAGATGACAAAACTACCCAGGGCAGAAAACATGTTCAAAATGATGCACCAAAACCCAACCTGAGGGTGTACATCTGTAATCCCAGCCCCTGGGAGGTGAGATAAAAGGATAAGGACAGCCTGGTCTACAAGATTCCCTGGCTCAAAACAACAATAATGAGACCGAAGAGCAAAGTCAGCAAAATCCAGACATTCAGCCTGGGCTACACTGTTGTATATTTACAGCATACATTAAGTTACATCATCACCTGTCGCCAGGTGCCTTTCCAATGTCAGCTATGCAACAAGTGCACCCCTTAAAAGTGCACCCCAGGCACAATTTGCTATCTTGCCTCTCTTCTTCCTCCTGTTTCTTCCGTCTCTCTGTCTGTCTGTCTGTCTGTCTGTCTGCCTGCCTCTCTCTGTCCCCACTCCAGCATGGCCTTTCACTCTTGCACGCTCCCCCTCCCCAAATAAACGTCTTGCACTAACCCTGTCGCACATGACATGTTTGCTTAGTGGCATACATTGACAGGGCCCGCTGAAAGGTACCCACTTCGCCCCTCTTTTTTATTTACCATTACATATATGATACCCTGTCTCAAAAAGACAACGAGGCCCAAAAATAAAGTTAGCAAAATTCATTAAAGACATTTACCTGGTCTACAGGAACACCAAAATATGCCAGCATGTTTCTTAACAGATTCAGCATGAGAGACATTGGTGAAGCAAGTTCAAGGAAATATTGTTCGTTGGTACCTTAGAAGAGAAGTTATTATTACTCTTACAATTAACTGACACGTAGATCGCACTAAAGAGCCCAAAGAAACCTTTCATGATGTGCTACACCATCAACTGACTGCTCCTGAAGAGCTTTCATTTTGAAGGAAGAGGAAGAGAAAAAGAAAGGGCACGCGGTGTGTGTATGGGGGGGAGGGGGGGGAGGAGAACACTAACAATGAAATTTTACTGTTACGTTAAAACCTTACAGTGTTTGTCAAGGGTCCCTGACAAGTCAATGTGCGACAGCCAAACTACACGGTCCCGGGGGCTCTGTCGCCCCCGGAAGCCTTCAGAACCGCACCGCCGCTCCTTCCACACCCGCCCCTCCGTCACCGACCGCGGACCGGAAGCCACGGGTCCGGCGGAGCCCGAGACACTCACCCTCCCGCTGCATTGCACGCCGCCAGGGCGCCCGGGAGCCCCCCAGCAGCGCCGCCACACGGGCGCGGGTCCGCCGCCAGGGCGGGCTCTGAGGGTCCGCACCGCTCGCACCCGGCCGGCTCGCCGCTTCCGCCTCCAGGACCAACTATCAAGCTCCGCGGGCCCGGACTCGGCGTCTGTCCCCATTGGGCGAGACTAGAGAACGCCGCTTGTGATTGGAAGGCCAAGAACCAATAGCCGCCCCAATGGGGCGCATGCGCAGAGTGCATTCCAGCGGTAGTTGTCTGGGTACTGCCGCATCTTTGTGCCTCACTCAGTCCTTTGTCGAGAAGGCATTGCCTTCTACACTTACCGCAATGGTGACATGCCTTCCCAGCAGTCGACGGATTCCGCCAACGGACTTGCGGGTGTTTGGTCATTCTGCGGAAATACCTAGCCGTAAGCTAAATGCTGGAATTGCTCATGTTGAGGCACAATATCCAGTCTAGTTTGTTGTGTACCTGTATTTAGTGTGCGCGCACGCCCACACGTGCACATGCCACAGAACCTTTGACAAATTGTCAAAGGACAGTTTGTGGGAGTTGGTCCTCACCTTCTACTATGTGGGATCCAGGGATTAAACATGAGACCTTAGGTTTGGTAGCAAGGTGCTTTTCCCACAGAGCCATTTTCGCTGGCCCTAAGACAAGACTTTACACCTTTACATTTCAAACTTTTGAAAGCTAGTGAAAATCAAAAAGGTTCTCATTAAATTACAGCCCCCCCCCAAAAAAAACTGTTTTTTGCATTGACAGTAAAACATAATGGAAAGAAGAGTGCAACACACTGTCTTATGTATCTATACTGCTACAATCCAATCCAAAAATTGATATTTAATTACAAAACTTCAGTTAAATAATTCTAAAGATTTGGCATGCCATGAGGACATGGCATAAAGTTCTGAAAAAATCTTAAGGATAATACGTTTTTTCTGATTTGTTAGGAATGTTCTCTTAATCCTAATTTTAGTTGGTAACAATAAAGCATCGATGTGTAATTGAAATATGTCAAGTGATCTAGAATAGGAAATCCAAACTAGAAAAGGTGCAGCATAAAGGAACACAGAACTTCTAAAAAACATCCAACCCAGACTACATAAATACTCTGGAAGAATGTGTTGTTTTGCTTCTTTGGTAGTTTTTGTTGATGATGATGGTTTGGTTTTTTGAGACATGATCTCACATTAGCAAAGGTTGAACTGAAACTGCTGCCCTTGCATCCTGAGTGCTGGGATTATTTATGGGTCAGATCAACACAAGTCCTTGAGTCTTAAGTGTGTGATGTCTTCAGCTGTAATAGGGATGTACCTTCAATTTCTGAGAGGCAACTGAGGGCAACAGCAATAGCCTAAATAGTTTTTGGAGTCTCTTATATTCACCTGACCAACAACTTGAAAGGACACTTCTCATGCCTGGTACTGGGATTTTTATTGGGTTTTTTATATAGCTCTTATGGAGACCATTATCACTCCAGTGGCATAATCTCACTTAAACTATATAGTTTATGTATGCATATATACTCATTGTATCACATGTAAATTTAGTAAATATAAAATGATTCTGTATGGCTTTTATTATGCTTAGTACTATTTATCCCCCCCATCTCCTCCTGTATTAACTCCCTACCCCTTCCCAACATAAAGCTTACCACCCCTCCCCACCATTTCTCCTTTCTCCCTTCAGACCACCTCTATCCTGCTCAGTTGCAAAGGAAGGGGAGAGGGAGGTCATGATCCCTGGCAAGCAGCCATGGACAACCTTGAATGGAAGAAGCTGTGCCAGGGGAAGCAGGTAAGTTATCCCTGTATCTGAGCCATTAGGGTCTAGTGGGTCTCAAGTCCCCTAATAACTTTTCTTTTTTAAGTAACCACTATCAGGGTTAGAGAGATGGTTCAGCAGTAAGAGCACTGGCTGTTCTTCCTGAGGACCCAGATTCAATTGCCAGTGCCCACGTGGCCACTCACAACTGTCTATATAGCTCTGTGTCCAGGGGATCCAACACCCTCACATAGACATACATGCAAACTACAAATGCACATAAAATAAGTTATTTTAAATTTTCCTACATTTGACTTTATACCAATGTTTACATACATGTTATGTATATGCACCATGTGCATGCCTGTTGGACCCCTTAGTATTGTGTTTATAGATGGTCATGAGCCACCATGTGAGTGCTGGCAACTGAATTCAGGTCCTCTGGAAGAGCAACTGTTCTTTACTGCTGCAATCTCTCCACCCCTCACATTTTTACTATAAATCCTATCAACTAAATATCTTTTTCAATTACAAGCAAAAGTTTATTATTTTTTAGTAGCTGGGTACTGGCACAGGCCTGTAATCCCAGCATCCAGGAGGCAGAAGCAGAATGGAGGTGAAGACTATCCTTTGGGACACAGAGATCTTGTGGCCAGTCTGGGTTACTTTGAGTCTGTTCCCAAGGTTTTTATTTGTCTTGGTTTTGGTTTTTTGTTGAAGTGTCTCACTGTATAGTCCAAGCTGGGCTCAAACTCACGCTCCTCCTCCTCCTCTACATGAACTCTTTATTCACCTCTTAGTAGCTGTGATTACCTACCTGTTGGAACACAGTCCAGGTTTGGAGTCGTATTAGAATTCTAAGTGCTTGTGGGAATACTACAAAGAAAATAAGAGTCTTGTCACCTGTTTCTTCAAATCCCAGAACTGTTTTTGGAATATTTCCTTGTGCCTCTCAGGTGCACTGGATAGGATATGCATTTATGGAAAAACGTTTTTACCACGTATGACTCATCCTTTTGATTGTATACAGTGTCAACTCATGAGAACTTTACTCATGTGATTTCTAAGCCTGAGGATAAATTGCCTGGGGCTCCAAAAAGTTGGTTATTGCATGAGATCCCATCTCATTTCTCTGCTCCATTTTCAGGTCCCACGCCTCTAAAGCAGTGACACTACCCAATGACCAGCACAAGAGTGGACCCCACAATATTATGTCAGAGTGGGGAAGAGGTTCATGATGCCCTGTCCCTCCCTGAGGATCTGCAGGCAGGCAATTAAGGAGTTGCTGAGGGAAGGAGGGATTTTCTTCAATAGAATAGCCATTGGTCAACTGTCCATACTGCTGTAACATTTTTAGTGTTTTGTGTTTATGTGTACCACAAGCTTGCAGGAGCGCACATAGTTCAGGGGATGGCATCAGACCCTTAGAGACTGAATTACAAATGATTATGTGCTGTCATGTAGGCAGCAGGGACCAAGCCCCAGTCCTCTGCCAAGAGCAGTAAGCTCTCCTAACCTGAGTCCTCCCCAGCCCCTGCTCCAGGACCTTTAAGCCCACTGATTCACCAAAGTTCCATTACCAGCCTTGAAAAGTCAACATCCACAGTCATGGTGGCAGCTTGGCAAACCTGACAGGGGAGAATGGATACAGAGGGCCTTCAAAACCCAGGCACAGAAAACTCATTACTTCCTCCTATCTGGAGACTTTCTTCTCAAAATTCCTCAAGGCTTACATACATTCTTTTCAGGATTCTTTTTGCAAAGACTCCTAGAGCAAATCTGCACTAACAGCTGTCACAATTCTACCTTCAACTCCGTGTTTCCTTTCACTGGAAATGCAGTTAAGTCCATTTGAAGCATGGCAGTCACCAGAAGCATGTACCTAGTTTATATGACAAATAGAGTAATGCTGTATTACAGTGGAGCCATGCTCTTCCTATTTGGACAACAGTAGCAACAGAAATTGGAACAGAAACTGTTCCTGGAGTTATTCAAAGTTGCAGAGATATGGTGAATCAGGCCAACCAATGTAGGAACGGTTTCAAAATCAACTCAACTCATGCCAAGTGAAAGTATTCTATGTCCATTCAAACACAGCATGTTACAGAAATAAATTACATGTGTACTCTGAGGTGCTCTACATGAGATGTTTGCCCCATGTCTCAAGCATTTAAATACCTGATTCCAATTGTTGGCTGCCTGGGGAGGCTTAGGAGGTGTGGCTTTGATGGAGAAGTGCGTCACTGTCAACTTTGAGATTTAAAAACCTTACCTCTGGCCATCCCTGATTCACTCTCTGCTTCCTGTTTGTGGCTCAAGATGTAAGCTCTCAGCTCTCTGGTTGCTGCCAAACTTCTATGCCATGAGAATGATAGGCTCCTGAAACCAAAAGCCCCAAATAAACTCTTCCCTACTGTAAGATGCCTTGGTCATGGTGTTTTATTGCAGCATCCAATATCAAACAGATACTACTCCCAATCTTGTAGAGCATGTGTCAGGATCTAGTGTTCAAGAAACTACACCTAGCCACACACATTAACGACAATGAATTGTCTTGCCTCCATTTGCCGTCCCATTTAGCAGTTTGGTTTCAAAAAGCCAATATTCTTTCTTGAATTTAAAAAAATTAAAAAATTAAAAAAATTTGCTTCTCTAGTAAACTTAGGGTATACCCACAAAGAAAATTTTAAATCAAACCCAGAAATTCAGAAAGCTAGCCAGGCCTCGAGTTCAAGGTCAGCCTGGGAGATAGTGAAGCCCAAGCCACCTTAGGTGCTATAGTGTAAGAACATCTCTAAAAACAACCTGACAAATGGAGCATGCTTTTACGCAGAAAATCCATAAAAAGTACTGTTTTAAGTTACTAACAATATGACACATCCTTTTTTACAAATGTTTATTTCCCTATCAAAGATTTTTGTTAAGTCTGCAATTTGTCAGAATGTTCCAATTTAAACCAGGCATAGTGGTACACATCTTTAGTCCCAGCACTAAAAAAAAAAAAAAAAAAAAAAAAAAACTGATCTAGAAATTCTAAGACTGCTTGAGCTACACAGCAAGACCTGCTTCAAACTTTAAAAGTTTGTAAACGCTGTGATTCCTGGGCCAGCAAGGAGACGGGTGGAGGACAACTGCTGCCCAGCATGACAAGCTGGGGGGGGGGGGGATGACACACACACGACACTGTATCCTCCCTCAAGCCATATCTCTGACCTACCTCCACACTTCCACACCATACACATCTACACACAAAAGTGCTGGAAGGTGGTCAATTTTTCATAATGGGGAAATGGCTCATGGGTTAAAGTGCCTGCGGCTCATTCAGAATCAAGTTCAGTTCCCAGCATCCACATCAGGTGGCACACAAAACTACCTACTCTAGAGGATCCAATGCACTCTTCTGGCCTTTGTGGGCACCACTACCCACCCCTGCAACACACACAAAAAAAACATCTATCCAAATAAGAAATCTTGTAAAAAAATCAATTTCCACTTCAGTAACAATGTTTTAAAGGTAAAGAATTATTTTGTATTTCTTTTGTATTTCCAGTAATTTTTAAGAAAATTTCAATTGTAGATCTAAAAGATAACAACTTAAGAAAACAACTCAGTTATTTTGTACTCTTTAGAGGAGGGGGTATGACTCAGTAGAGTGCTTGCCCAGCATGCGCAAAGCCCTGGGTTCAGTTCCCAGCACAATATAAAATGTGGCTGATTTTTTGTGAAAAAAAAAAAAAGACAGCTACAGCTCTGGGTGACCTCAAACTGATAGCCCTCAGTGCTAGGATTAAAGTTCTGTGCGTTTTGGCTGTGGTGTATGCCTTTAATCCCAGCACTCAGGAGGCAGAGGCAGAAACCAGCCTGGTCTACAAAATGACTTCCAGTAAAGCCTCTCTTACACAGAGCCTGTCTCGAAAACCCAGCCAAACAAACAAAAAACAAAAAGTTCAGTGTCTTTTTCTTTTCAAGGACTTCTCTTTGATGACTACTAGCCTGGAATTCCTGTGTTTTCCAGTATGGCTCACTAAAAACTACATGCATTCTCATCTTCCAAGGAAAAGAAAAGTGATTAAGACAGTTTTGAAGAATCTTTAAATAAAAAACATTTATCAAACCACATACCAAGTTTACTACACTTGAGTTGATATTCTAAATTCTAGAAACAGGCCATAGAAAAACAGCCGAGTAGAAAGTACACCCAGGAACAGCCTCCCAATCAGGTAAACAGACAACAGCTATTACCACTTAGGACACTTTATTGGCATATGACAATTTACAAGGGTCCCTGTTGAAATATACACCACACTTGAATAAGAATCATTTAGCCAGCTACATTCATTCTCATGGGGTAATATTTTCCCTCAAATTATAATTTAATTCCCAACACTGATTTTTAACTGTGACAAAAGGGAACAATACCAATTTCAATCCTTGAAATAGAGTGCAACTGGAAAAGGCTTTGCTTTTTATTAAAATGCCTAAGATGTTGAAAAGCATACACACCTAAGAACTGAGTCATGGCCTTCGGAAACTGCTTTTTTTTTTTCCTGGAAAAATCCTTTGGTTCATTTGTATTTCTTTTCTCTGAGCAAAGGAAGTACATTAATGCAGCTACTAACAGTTATTTTCCTGGCACTTATAATCAAGCAGCTCTACCAAGAGGAGCCATCTAGCTTTGTAACATGTCATGAAATGAGAAATAAATAGTGATCTCAAAAAATACACACAGGCTGCTTTATGTTTGGCTCTGAAAAACAGAAGATTCACAGTGGTGTTCTACTGCAGAGTTCTTACCACCATACTTTACTTTAATGTAGTGAGATCTTCTTTCTTAACTTTAAAATGAAAGTAATCAAAGGTTACAGCATTGCATTCGCACTTAAAATATAACCTGTTACTCCCTATTAAATTATTTTTCAGTAAATCTACTACTTTTCTTTGTTGTAGGAAAAAGTAAAGGTAAACATGCCAAGATTTGGTGTATAACCAAATAACTGTTAAAAGTTAAATGTATTCATATAAAACAGAATGGTATGAAAATTGTTAGGGAATTAAATACATATTGCTTTTATATTTTTTTTTTTGCTTTTATATTTAAATATTAATCTGAACAGGATGGTACTAATTATGTCCAGATTGATGTAATAAAGTTGCTTTGCAGATATTTTCTGATTTACTAAATAATTCCAGATAGACAATTAAGGGGAGAAATCATGTGATACTGAGTGAAAAACTTAAACATATCACATGTTGACTTTTTGGTTTTAATTTTGTTGCCAATAGCTCTTAGCAAATGTCACTAGATATTCAAAGTCTAAAACACATTGTAAATCATCAAAACAGAGAATGAAAGAGCCATACACTTACAAGTTTTAAAAGTTTACATTAATAGCATAAGCATTATCTCCTTTAAATGCAATGTGGCTGGTTTAACATGTTTAGAAAAAAAAAAATCAGTCTTAGCATGAACTTTACCCCTCCAAGGGCTATTAAATAGCAAAGATTATTATCTACCTCTTTAGGTAAGGTAGAGTACTTGAAAAGAAAATGGTCGTTTTATAAACTTAAAATAATGGGGGAAGGGGTGGAGGTCAGATCAATGATACAAGGTTCCTGACAGAATCTTTTATTGGTAACATTAAGAGAAAACAAATTATTTAACTACTAAACAGTAAGTTGGATCTACCTAATTATATGGTTAAATTATGGACTAATCTACAGCTGTTCAGAGTATCCAATAAATATGTAAGCTATTCAATCAGGTACTTAATGACTGACTGCACCAAATTATGCTTCAGGAATAGGACTCCCAAGTTTTGCTGTTCTTGTTTTTTAGAAAATACAACCAGGGCTGTGGAATTAGGATTTTTACTTACACTGATAATACAAACCAGTTTCTCTCTCTCCTAGGTGGCTGGTATCTAAAACCATGACTCAAACTATCAAATGAGAATGAAAGAGAATATTCAATTTTGAATTCATACAGGAAAGGCTCTTAAAATGATTTTACAGGCCACTGCTTGCTTTCAGTAAAAATACCACTTTCTCAAACCTTCCTAACTTTTAATAATTTGTACTTTTTAGCTATTAACAAAGCTATTGTCCTTATATATTTGCTGAAGTGTGAAACTAGTTTAGCAGAATAGCAACTTTTGTGGTAGTTTTGAAAATTAGTCGCCCTACAATGTAGTGTGTTCAAATTAAAAAAGATGTTAAACAGATGTGTCCAGTTAAACAATTAGTGTGGTCACTATAAACAACGCCTGGTCAAGGTTTGTGTGGATTTGTGTGGAGCTGACGTTCACTTCGGAATCAAACGTTAACAAACAGGGAGGCAAGAGAATCAGAGCTGTCCAGAGCTGGACTTGACCATTTCTTATAGACAAAGCAGAAATACAATGCATGTAACAAAAACAGTCAAAGGTTTTTAAAAGTTGATAGTTACAAATATGGTACGGAACATTTCCTACTTTATTTCAATACAATTTTCAACATACAGTCTACTATGTTTCCAAGGTATTTGAAGACTTAAAACAAAATTTCTATAGACTACTTGCAAACAGTAAATTTTAAGTAAAATGTTTACATTCTTATTTGAAAACAAAAATCAGGTTTAAAAAATGTGTGTCAAGTTCTGCTCTCTGTTGCAATCTTCAGACTATTCCTAAAAAGGGAAAAAGAAATTAGAGGTCAATGAAGCTGTGAGTAGTCAATGTTAATGATAATTATTTTTACAAGCTGATCAACTGACTTGCCTGCCACGCTCACACTAAATCAAATCTGTCCAAAATCAGAGAATGTCTACCTTTTCTTCTTTGCGTCTGTCCTTCTTCTCTTCATTATTTTCCATGGTCTCCTCTTCATCTTCAACAATCCCGTCCCCTTGGTATTTGTCATGAGTCCATTTTGGACTGCTACCTGATTTTTTGAAATTAAAGCGCCCTCTGCCGCGTTGAAAAGTACCACGACCTCTTCCTCTTTTGGCCCAATAATCCACACCATCATCTCTGTCATCATGCTATAGATAGGTTTGAAAAGAAAACACATCAATGAAATGGCTTTCTTGTTAAGATATTAATTAAAGTCACACTGCAAGCAATGTGATTCAAAAAAACTTCCCCACAAAAATATCATAAGGACACTACAAAAGCCAGAAAATGTCACTGTAATACTATAAGTAACATTTATTACATGTTATATAAATTATGCCTAGCAGGAAAGATTCTAAAATTCTACACTGAGATTTAAATCTAGATGTGAATATACATCTATCTGCAGCCTAGGCGTTTGAATGGTAAATGACAGCAGAGCCCCATGGCAATTTATCTCAGCTATTTTACAGAAAGTATCGAAGCTATTACATTCCAACTTAATTTTTCATTAGCTGTATTTAAATTGTTACTCTCCAACTTACAAACTGTTCTATTAAGCAAAACAATCTCCAAGGCTGAAAAGTACTTGTAAGTTTATAAGTAAGTATTCCCATTCCAAAATACAATACAAAAGGCCAAAGGTCTCCCTAACTCATTAATTAAATCTGCCAATTGTAAAATGTAAAGCGAGGCAGGATAATGGCCCTCTACAAGAAAACAAGCATAATGCAAATGTCATATTGCACAGCCTTTTAAGTACTTATACTGAGCAACTACCCAATTCTCTAAAATCTTTTAAAATGTGTCACAAAGACTTGATTGCAAAACAGAATAAGCCTTTATGCATAACCATTTTGTAAAGATGAACTTCTTATGCAACTTAAAAATTGGAAATATACAGGCAATTATTAAACTGTTTTAAAGAAGAGTTCTAAACTGTTAATAACTAGTATCTTGATAGCTTTATCAAACCAATGAAGATTGCTAGGTGTGCATGATTCCATAACTTCTGAGCTCAACAAAATGTTAGAGACATCAGAAAAGAGTCATTCAAAACAATGTCTATAATTACATTGTTTCATGCTCCCTCATGGGATTAATACCCAAATTTTAGAGCCTTTTTTTTCT